GAATTTATAATAAATCATCTTAAACTTATAGAGAGCGATGGTAATCAGGTAGCAAATATAGCTAATGAGTATCAAGTGGAATTATTAAATTCAAGTTATTTGACAAAATTAGCAAATAAACATTCAACAAAATTTAAATTATGATTCATAGTTAGGTGACTTAGAACAAGAATGCCACAGTTTTCTTGGAAAACGACATTCACAAGATGTGGACGTTAAAATTTTGGTGAGAAAAGAAGAGTGAACTTCCCTATCTTTCCAGGCTCGCCAAAAAAATTCTTTGCATTCCGGCGACCAGCACACCTAGTGAATGAGTTTTCTCTACAGCTGGATTGACGTTAAATTAAAGGAGATTAAAATAATTTTTAAACATGATAATTATAAAATTACGAAAACGATTTTGGATTTATAATGAGTTTTCTATTAAATAAATATTAAAAAATATGCCGAGATATATACAGATGTATATCTGTATATTTGTTTTTTTTTTAAATTATTAAGCAATTAAAAAAACTATATTATAAAAATTTATAACTGCGCCGATTTGCTGACGGCTGCTAAAATTCAGCGCCGCCGGCCGTCGATTAGATTTTTGAAAATTTCCTCCTGCCGCCGACCGTTTCGTCGGTGCACAGGTCTAGCTATATATAATCATGCTTTTTTAAAGTATGCCGCAATAGGAAATTTTGGCTTACTATAATCTTTAAGATCAATGATATTGATATGTAGTTATAATTACTATAATTTGTTTGTAGGGAAAAAAAATATATTTCTGAGACACCATTAGGGCTTTTATTTAGAACAAAAAGATACAAATTGTATAAACTATCATGTAAAAAATAAGTTTAAACGCAAACAAAAAATTTCCTATTGATGAAATGAATGAGAGAATCTTTGGAGGAGCAATATTCTGGAGAATATATAATATTCTTGGGAGATGATGCAATAGCATTTATTTGATCATAACTCACTCTCGGACCTATAGCGAAGACATCTATTTCGATACCTTGAATTTTATGGAAGAAGAAAACAATATTTTATGCAAGAATGAAAGAAACTGAAATCTAAAGCTCATTGTATACATACCATTATATTTTATCGATTTGGCAATTGCCTCCGGATTTCCCACAGATGTCTCTGATATGTAAACCCATATTTGTTTAATGGAGTCTGGCTTACTAGAATTTTTTAACATTGAATACGCGAGTGACAGGGCCTTGCCAACATTCAAATTCTCTATAGCAATAAAAGTAAATATTATTTCTGAAAATTGAATTCTATAATCTGATATTAGATTCCACTTAAAATATTATAATATACCAGTTCTATCATTGAAAATAGGCTTGGGGTAACCAAATACATTCGTTAGAGATTTTGCTGAGTCAAATGGTAATTGAATGTTAGCATAGTTATTATATGTCACGACTCCTACACTACCTCCATCAGGACCCAGAGGGTTGTTTTCGACAAGTTGCCATAGGGAACCCTAGGAAAATAATCTTATTTCATCAATTTAAAAAATGATTTGTAATACGTAAGAGATTGATAACGCGCATTCAAAATCTTTAAGAGAACGGTATTCCAACTCAACTAGAAATATTACATCGATTGGTTTACTTTTAGCACTAAGGAGATCCTTATAAAGCTTGATATCAATCTTGGGAACTTAATTTAAAAAAAAATTTCCATGCTAAAAAGGTATTACTTAGAAAAGTATATTTACATTTTGGCTTTTCGGTATAATATTTTTTTGTGTAATATACTGGTTTGATATAATCTTTTGAATCATAGGTGGAATACAATTTATACAGGCAGATCACAATTAGAACACTGAGAATTCTTGACATATTTATTAGTTTGAAATTGATGTTAATTTAGTTTTCAAACAAAAACGAAAATGAGAAAAAAATTTTTTTACCAATATAAATAAAACAATCTTTAAATGATATTATAAAATTTTGCTTTATATTATATATTATATAAATATAAATTTAAAACTAAGTTTAACAAAATAGATATAACTACCGGCAGTAAACTGTATCTTTATTTTAAAAAAAATACTACCATGCTTAATTATTATATTTTTTTTAAAAATCGCAGTAATTTACTCGAATAATTTAAAAATTATTATGATGGTAAATTTAACATTTAATTAAATCTTAATTTGATCAAGCAAATAAAATAGTTTTCTTTAGAATTATTAAATTGCTACTTACAGAAGAAAAGATATAGCGTGCTCGTCGGTTAGCCACTGACAAATCTAGGATTTTTATAAAGAGAGCGAGATAGGAACTTTTGGTTGGTTTTTTTAACCAGAAATTTATGCCAGATTTTGCTTTAGATTTCTCTCTTTGAAGAATTTTTGGCACGAATTACGTTTTTAATTATATAATTATGCTTATTTTTTTAAAGATTATAGTTTGTTAAAATGACATACTCTACTCTCATATTTTCGGGAGAGGGATGGGAGAGCTTTTGAGTATTTAACTTCTGGTATGTTATATAGAAAAATTGAATTCAAGGATGAATTCACACCTACCTTTTTGTAAAATTATATCTATACTTAAAAAAGAATATTTGATATTTGGTCCATATTTTACGAATACGAATAATTAAATATATATATATTTATGTATAATTTTATCTATTATTCGATCAAATTATCCAAAAAATATTTGTATAATTTAAAATCGAGTAAACTTCAACCACAAAGTCAATTTTCGTTTGCTCTCTAATTGGCTTGGAAATAATAAAAAGATTTACAAATAATAAAAAGATTTATATATGGGATAATCGTAGCATAGGAGCCTTGACTCAAAATGAACGATTATGATGGATTTACGTAATGGGATTATGGTATCCGAATTACTTCTACGAAAGATGAACGGAAATGAACCATTCAAATTGTTTTACTAGGATTTTGGTATCAGATGAACTCTGACGCAATGGTAGCAGATAACTTCTGACTCCAAATGAAGCATTGAAATTTTTTTTTCAAAATTATAAGTGATAATAATAATTTTTTTTATTGTGAAACGTTTTTTTTTTGGAATGTATCACGTGTAGACCTGTGCGCCGCCGGCAATTTTATTCACGCCGGAACAGTCGCCGATTGAGATCAGCGGCGTGAGGTCGTAATAATTTACCCGCTAAGCCATATGGATATCAAATAAAAGGTGATAAAAATATCTTTGGATTCTAAGGATAATTATCACTTCTAAGTGAGCCGGTCTAGGGGGGTAGGGGGGAGGGTCAAGAATATTTTATTCAGCAAAATATTAATATGGGTATCAAATAACTTGACTCAAGGAGGGGGGTGGGAAAATAAGAAAATGGATATTGGTATCAAATAAAAGGTAATATCCATTATCAAATTTAAGGACAAAATTCTCATTTGCAGTCATTTTTAACTGACGGGTTATCAACTAGTATATATATTTATAATCTTTAATTTTTAGTATTGATTTTTTTTTTGTCGAACTATAATTGATATTTATTACCTTTAGCTTTCTACACAATAAAAACATCTGTTAGAAAAATTCAACTTCCAATTTTACATTTCTCGTAACAGTTTGTAAATCGTGTCTATGAGACATCAGTTTATCTTTTGACTGAAAGGTGTCCATTGGTTCATCTTCATATTCTTGGGGCTTTTCTAAAGGCAGTTATATAATGAATGTATACTTGAAATCTGGTATCGAGATCAATAGGAGACAAGGGGGGATAACATTTTTTTTAGGTAAGGGGAAGAGCGAATATAAAATATATTACCCACATTTAATAAAAGGGTGTCAAAATCATTTTTTCTTCAATAATTAGTCTATAAATTTATTTAAATATCAACTTTATGTTGTAAAAGTGGAAAACTTTCCCAACAATCCCCAAAATTGGGATTATCACTTTGATGCAGCTTCCCAAACTATTCGCTACTTTGGGTATAATGAATTGGAATGTATTAATTTATTATAAATAATTTGTATGAATTATTTTATCGTTCAAAATATCATAATATACAATTAGATATTCTTTCTTTCTTTCTTTTCTTTTCTTTTCTTTTCATTTTCTTTTCTTTTCTTTCTTTTCCTTTCCCTTTCTTCTAATTATATATAAAAATTGAAAATTTTGTTTATTTTAATAAATCATTTATGTATACGTAGGAAAAATCAATCAAAGTTTAAACATTTGCCATGCGCACAATTACGCATTCTACATACAAGTAAAATGTAATTATATAATTAAATTTTATCAGGCTATGAAGATTCAAAGAGAATTACCAATCAACTAAACTAATATATTATCCATCTTATTTTTAAGATATAATCACAGTAATGGTATTTATATATATGTATATATAATAATTAAGAATGGTTTTATATCTTTTTAATTGAAATTTTTAAAATATTTTTCTTTTGTTGAATTAGATAATTAGCTATAATTCTTTCTTCTTCATTTGCTAATATTCTCTTCCTTTTGGATTTGACAACCAAAATTTTATTTCTTAATATAACTAAATTATTTCATAATGGAATATTTCTAAAATATTTTTTACTTATAGATAGATATTATTTAAAAGCTAAAGAATAAAATTTCAACATTCTATTATATTTTATTAAAAATGAAATTAAGTTGTTTGACATAGTTCAGGGTTTATCTAGCCCCTTTCATCTACCTCTAAATATGTCTGCGTGTATTTCATTACAGTTCAGTGAAGGTATCTTAGCCAGGATGTACCATATTAATGGAGAAAAGATTAAGTAATAATATCTTTAACATTATCAATACAACTTAACAAAAAACGCGTATTCTTGTCAGCACAAGGATTTCAGCAGATCTCCTCAATGGTTCACATTTGTTTTGTTTAGTAAAAAATAAAAATGGACATTTTTATACTTAACTTCCGGTTGTTATATAGGAAAATATATTTATGTACAATTTTTTATTATTCGAAAATATATATATAATTTAAAATTGAGTAACTATCATCAACGGTTGTTTGTTAAATGACATATTCTACCCATATTTTTGGAAGAGAGAGGTAACAAATCTAATTTTACGAAAACGTAGTTTGTGAAATCTTATTGAATTATTTATTTTTTTTTAAATAACATAAAATTAATATTTTTTAAAAAATGATGATTTTAAGTGAGAAAAATATAAAATTAAAAACCAAAATTATATAATTAAACTAACGCAATCGTGCCAAAAGTTTTTTAAAAAAAATCTGGTAAAATTTTCTGGTTGTTCCTTTCTCTCTTTATAAAAATCCTGGATCTGTCAGTGTATCTGGACAAAGAATACTATCTATTTTTTTCTTAAATAATTAAGCAATTTAATAATTTAAAGAAAACTATTTTATTTGCTTGATCCAATTGCCAAATTCATATAATTTTAAATTATCGAGGTAAATTACACAACAAATTTTTTTAAATGATTTGCGAATTAAAAAAAATTATAATAATTAAGCATGGTTTTTTTTAACTTTTTTTTAAAAAAAATGAAAATACGTTTAAACTGCCTATAGTTATATCTGTTTTGTTAAATTTAAATTTAGATTTATATATATTATAAAAATACTAATAAATTATCAAATCAAAAACAATTACTTGTAATAGGATCTTATTTTAAATGTAAACTGGATAAGAACTTTTGTTTTATAAAGCAAAATTTTATCACAAATATTATTTAAAGATAAAGTTTATTCATATACTTAATAAAAACTTGCTCATTAAACTCCTTTTTGAAAACTAAATTATAACATTAAAATTTTTCAAACTAATAAATATGTCAAGAATTCTCAGTGTTCTAATTGTGATCTGCCTGTGTAAATTGTATTCCACTCATGATTCAAAAGATTATAACAAACCAGTATATTACTCCAAAAAATATTATACCGAAAAACCAAAATGTACTCTTTCTAAAATATTATCCTTTTTAACTATATCATTAAATTTAGTCCCCAAGATTGACATTAAGCTGTACAAAGATCTCGTTAGCGCTAAAAACAAAGTAATCGATGTAGTGGCTCTGGTGGAATTGGAATACCGTTCAGCCACAGATTTGGAATGCGCGCTAAAAATCTCTTTCGTAACAAATCATTTTTATTTTAAATTGATGCAAAAATAATAAAAATATCATTTTCTCAAATAGGGTTCCTTATATCAGCTTATCCAAAACAACCCTCTAGGTCATGATGGGGCTAGAGTAGGAATCGTGACATATAACAAAAATGCCAACGTTCATTTATCACTGGAAACAGCAACATCTCCGTCGGGCGCATTCGCTACTCCTAACGCTATTTTCAATGATAGAACAAGTATATATATATTTTTTTAAATTGGAATTTGATATCATCAGATTTAAGAATTAAATTCTAAAATAATTACTTTTATTACTATTAGATTATTTGAATGTTGACAAGGCCCTGTCACTCGCATATTCAATGTTAAAAAATTTAAGTAGGCCAGACTCCATTAGACAAATATGGGTTTATATATCAGAGACATCTGTGGGATATCCGAAGGCAACTGCCAAATCAATTAAATATGATGGTATGTACAAAGAACTAAATTCAGTTTTTTTTTCAATCTTGTATTATTATTATTATTTTCCTCTATAAAATTCTAGGTATCGAAATAGAAGTCTTTGCTGTAGGTCCGAGAGTGAGTTACGATCAAATAAATGCTATTGCATCTTCTCCCAAGCATATTATATTTTCTCCAGATTATTGCTCCTCCAAAGATTCTCTTGTTGATTTGGTCAATGAGAGACTTTTTGTTTGCATTTAAACCTATTTTTTATACAATTTGTATTTTTATTCAAATAAAAGCCTAATGGCGTTTCAAAAAAGTGTGTAATTTTTCCTGTATACAAATTATAAAATTAAAACTACTTATTAATATCGTTGATCTTAGACATTAACATAAACTCAGATTTCCTATTGTGGAGGAATACTTAAAAAAAAGTTAGAATAAATGGTTATCAATTTAATTATTATTATATTTTTACGTCAGAACAATTTATTATTAAAATGGGGTAAAAATTGGTTAAATTGTTATTTAAATCATATATATTTTTTTAATATATAGGAAACATGGGTTATTTGGCAGGTACTTTTATTTCGGGGATAAATTTTTTTTTCTTTCTATTTTATAAAATTAAACTAATTCGTGTGATTGGATAACTTGGTAATTTATACTATAAAATACGCGGGAACTGTATATGCATTAGATATAATGTTAAAACATATAAAGTATAGTATATAATTTAAAAAAAGATTAAAATGAGGGGAGAAAGAAAGAAAGAAAGAAAGAAAGAAAGAAAGAAAGAAAGAAAGGAGAAGCTTCCTTTCATCTAGAAAATTTGTTGTAGCTATTTAATCTAATTAATTTCCTCTAAAGATATGCAGCAAGGGGTAAAATGGTCAATTTTATTAAACAAGAATTTCCCAGGATGACGATCTCACATTCTATTCACTAAACTTTTATATTTTTAACCGATTATATGTAATAATTGTCTAAGGATGAATTGATTGTGGATCACGTTATTCCTAATAATAACCAAGCAGCACGGATGTAAAGTTCCGGGAACAGCTGATTAGTTTATGCCTGACACTATCCAAAAATGATAATGGACAGATCCCAACACTGGGGGTGGGGTAGGAATTGTATTATTGTCCTGAATAAGCATATTCTATTTGGGAATAGTAAATTTATATAAAAATTTTTGAAATCGTTTAGAGAAAAAACAATGTCTTCCTCATCAACATGATTTGTGCATCAAAAAAAAAACCCCAAAAGAGTTTAGGGTTAGGCTCTAATACAAATAAATTTTAGTATAGGGGGAAATACATGTTTTGTAGTGGCTAGTCATAAATTTGCAAGTTCTTTTTTGACTCTACTTCCATATTAAAGAATAGCTAACTAATATAAAATAAATATTAATTCGACAATTAGAAAACACATAGGTTATTTATTATTTTTTTTGTAGTTTTTTTATTTTAAGAGTGTTAAATTAGTTTGATGATGCCAGGGAGTTGCCTGAATTTTTTTTTCCATGGTTCATTATGATAGGGGTATATCATTTAGATATAGATTAGATTCCAAAATTTAATACATTTGAGATAAGTATTTATATATGATGGTTGCTCAAATATTTAAAAATTATGTTGTTACAGTTATTCTGGTTAAATAAAAAAATATTCTAACGTGAATCTTTTCCTGTTTATTTGATTGGTATTTTTGCTTCAAACGAGCCTAGGTAGATATAGTATAGATTTTATTTTTACAATTAAGTAGAACAATTAACCCAAAATCATTCTGATGTTTATTATAGTAATTAAATTATTAATTATGGTAAAAAATATCTCGATTGATTTGTAGTAGCGATATTCAAAAGTTGTATATAAATTATATAAGGTGAATTCCATATCAAATCTACAAATAAAAAGTCTATTTTCAACCCGACCCCCTTCAGAATTTTTTTTGAATTTTGTATATTGGTAGTGTATATACTATAACTAAAATAAAAAATGAAATTTTACTTCCTACCAATTACTCGCTAATAATATGGGCGTTTAAAGAGCGGGAAAAAATGATACTTACAAAAAATGTACTTCATTAACTTTTCAAATATCTCAAGAATAAATTAGGTTAGAGCGATGATTTAATTTAAATTTCATTATATAGCTTAATAATAGAGTTTTAATAAGACATATAGATGATTATGATAGAAACAAGATTAATACCAAAAAAAGAGAGTACAGAAATGATAAGGGTCTCAGAAAAAAAAGCTAGGCTGGGTTGTGACTTGTGAGTGGGTCTAGTTATGACCCTTTATATGGTTAAAATTAAAATTTTATAATAATATTAAATTTATCCGGGGCAAAATAAAATATTGATGATTGAATATCGAAGGCTATATATAAACCTTTTTTGGTTACGCCGGAAACGCCGCCGTTTAAGAAAATCACGCCGGCGCAGAAATTAATTTCATATTTTATTCCTTTTTATTCTAATAATTGGTCAACATCACTGTTTAAATTTTTTTAATGTCAATCAGGATTTTGATGAATTTTTATTTTCTACTATTTTAAAATCATAACTGTATTGGCGTCATTATAGAATTCAATCAATCAAAAATCTAAAATTCTAAAAGTTACCATAATTTTACATATTTTTAAAATGGATGCGTCTACATTTAATAATTCTATAAATAATTTTAATATCCTAACTCTGGAAAATAAAAAATCCATAGTCTGGAAATTTTTTGGTTATTTACACTTAAAAAGAGATAATAAAACAATTTCCATAAATTCTCACAAATTTTACTGCAATTGTTGCTTAAGAAAGGCTATTGGAGACTATGATGATAATAAGCCATTTTCACAGTATTTTTTTTTAAATATTATTTTCTCATATATAGCCAAAATCTTTAATAAATTTAAATATATTTTTTGTAAAATATAATGTAGCTATAAAATCAAAACTTTTTAATAAACATTAGCACAGGAAATTTGAAAACACTTGACTTCTGAACATAATATTAAAGCAGATACTTCATCAAAATCGCAAGATTTAAAAAAATATTTTATATCCAAACCAAAATTCCAGACAAATTCTAAAACCTCTAAAAATTGGCTTCTAGCAAGAAATTATGTGTTATTATGTTGTGCTGACCTATTACCTTTTCAATAAATTGATAATATAGGAATGAAAGATTTTTTGAAGGTATTAAATTTATAGATATCTTATCTATTATAATAACTACCTTTATGTCTCTTTTGTTCTATTGAAATAGCATTGGCTACTGATGAAGATTTACAATAGTTGAATTTTATAGCCATGCTAACAATATTATTACACATAGACATATATGATTTAAATAATATTGGATAATTGCATATTCATTTGTTTTAACATGTAGCTTTGCAACCCAGAATATATTTTTAACAAATTTATTTCTAGTGTTGTTAAACTACCTATATTTAGTCAACTATAAAACAGCGTAGCCATATTTTTATCCAGAAATATTCTAATCAATCTTCAAGTTGAGACTAAACTTAGAAGCTTAATTCAATATTTTAGTCTAAAGGCCTGAATAAGACACAATAGAGATGGTCAAAGTTAGGAAATTTAACAACACTATTTATTTCTTCTTGATAAATTCTCCCTAATTTGTTGTCTAATATAAAATAAAGATATAATGATTTTCTGTTATAAATTTCAAAATACTTATTAGAAATATAAAGTTATCAATTCTAATTCTATTTTGCCAGACAGGACAACACTAAGCCGTACTCCTCTTAATAATGTTTACCTATCAATGAAAGCACATGTACAAGAACAAATTAACTCAGGGTCAAAATTTTGTTCAATTACATTTGATATGTGGACAGATCAATACAGAAGAAGAAACTATATTACATTTACACTTCATTTAATAAATGATAATTTTGAAATGATTTACTACACAAAAAAAACACAGAAACTATTCTAACTGAGATTGATAAAATAGAAGAGGAATTTAATTTAAAAAGAAAAAAATACAAATGGTCACAGATGCTGGGCCTAATGTTAGAAAAGGTGTTCGATTAGGTGAACATAAACACCACTTATGTTTGGGTCATGGTTTACACAATCTGGTTACAGTAGATGATATTGAAAAGGTACCCTTTGTTGAAAAAAAGATTTAATATCAGACATGTTAGATCTTGACAGCACTGATCCATACCCGGATCCCCGTTTTAAAATTGGCAATTCCAATGATAATAATAACAATAATTCCACGCATATGAAAACCTTAAAATTAAATGTCCCAAGACGTTGGCATAGTATATTAATTATGCTAGAAAGCATATCTGAATTAAATAAGAATTTAATTAATAATGTTTTGAAAAGAATTGGGAAGCACTTTCTCAAATTATCAAACTATGAAACTAATCTGGTAGAAGAACTATTAGCATTTCTTTCAAAATTTAAAGAAACTGTCGAATTTCTTTCAGTACAAAAGGGGCCTACTTTAAACTTGGCGTTACATTATAGAAGTGAAATTGTAACAAATTTAATAGTAAATGATAGTGATAGTTCTGAAATTATTACACTTATGGGAAATATGGTAAACTTGCGTTACGATTTCCGGTTTGTGATCTTTCATTTATCTAATTTATATTTTATTTGAGAAATCATCTAGGTATTGGCTTCCATTTTAAATTCATGATTTCAAAAATTGACAATTGTGTCTTAATATATATAATAGGCAAAATTTCTCAGCTTCAGATTTTATAATAAAACAAATTAAACTTATAGAGAATGATGTTATTCAGGTAGTAAATATAGCTATTGAGGATCAAGAGGAATTATTAAATTAAGGTTATTTGACAAAGTGGGCAAATAAACATTCAACAATACAAATTTATGATTCCACGTGATGTGATTTAGAACAAGAATGCCACATTCTTCTTAGAAAACGACATTCATAAGATATGGTAAGTTCTTCAATCTTTTCAGGCTTGCCTAAAAAATTCTTTGTATTGGAGTGACTAGCAAATAATATTTATACATGATAATTATAAGAAATACGAATTGGATTTATAATGTGTTTCTCTTAAATAAAGATTAAAAAATCCTAATAAATAGGTAAATATTTTATAATAAAAATTTATATCTTTAGATTACCAATTGTCTTGTATTATATGTTAGTAGTGTTTGAAGGTATTCATAATAAATTTAAAAATATATAAAATTTAAATATTAGTTCAAAATTTGTAAATTCCAATTTAAAAAGTATA